AAATTCACCGGCATGCACGCGGATTAACCGAGATTCTTCACGACGTAACTTCCAGTGGCTTCGAAAAAGCGCCGCGAAATCGCATCAACCTCAGCACTAGCTGCCCAATTTGCCTTTCTTTCCTTCTTTTTTCCCTTCCTTCCATGAATAATTCCGCCGTGAATCCTCGATCGTCGCCATGAACACCGAATGAGGGATAACGCGTACGAAATATCAATATTGAAATACGTCGCCGCGCATTGTGGGAGAGAAATATTGAAATCACTCTCTCTCTCTCCCTCTCTCTCTCTCTCTCTCTCTCTCTCTCTCTCTCTCTCTCTCTCTCTCTCTCTCTCTCTCTCTCTCTCTCNTGTGAGAGAGATATAGAAAACTCTCTCTCTCTCTCTCTCTCTCTCTCTCTCTCTCTCTCTCTCTCTCTCTCTCTCTCTCTCTCTCTCTCTCTGGCGAAGGTTGCGCAGGTAGTGCAAAACCTCATCGATCACCCGGACGTTAAAAGCATCCGTTTTACAACGGAAAATAAATTTGATAAGGTTAAGGCTCTAGAAAGAAAATGGACCGGGAACTCTCGAAGCTGCGAACGGTGAGAACAAAGTTACTGCCTGAATAAGAGGACTTGGAACATGTTCGAGTTTCGAGAACTATGTACGCAAAGCAGAGTCGAGCGGAATGTGATTCGAGTAGAAAACAGAAAAATGTGTACCGGTTTCTCGAAGAGGATGCGATGTGAAATCGCGTCGATCGATGTTCGAAGGGCAACTACAAAGTCGCGCAAAGAGAATGCAATTGAGCAATTAACGTCAAGTTAACGAGGATTAGAGGTCAATAATAACGGTGGGTAATAAACACGGCCGATCTCGTAGTTCGATCAGAGAGTAGTCGTTCTTCGTATCCGACGGCTGTCGATATCGTAGCTCGGCATTAAAATTCACAGTGGCGTTTTCCGATTTAGCGAGAACTTTCTGAACGACGCGACGTCGTCTCTCTATCTCAAGCTAGGTGCATCGAGTTTACGTCGTCGACGTCACCGTCGTCGTTGTCGTTGTCGTTGTCGTCGACGACGGTGTGGTGTTGGCTCGTCGGCAACCTCGTTACTTTGCATTCGCGACCGACGCTACCCGACACATGCGCTATGAAAAATACATAATTCCGGCAGAAGCAAAGTGTCAATAATAATACCTATATCTGCGTTCCGGTCCAGTGGCCGACGATATTTCAGAACACGCCCTGGCCACGGACACACGCCACGGGCCATTTTATTTCGCGATATAATGCTTGACTCCTCGTCCTTCTTACCGGCTGACATATTGGTCGCGATAGCGAGTAATCCGTTACGTCAGTCCGTATCCGCGATAAGAACGCCGCGCGGACTCCTCTCTTTCCTCTTCCATCTTCCATCTTCCATCTTCTCTCTTCTATTTTCGCCTCTTCTTTTTTTCTACCCACTCTTCACTCTCCTCCACCCTATTTCTTCCCCTGTTTACTCGTCCCTTTATGCCCTTCCACCCTCTCTATCCATTTCTCCGCCAGGCGTTTTCGCCCCTCTGCCTCTTCCACTTCGTTTTATTTCCCTCCCCTACCCCTACCCCTCCCTGCCTACCACCAAACTGAACCCGATGCTTTTCTCATTTCGCCTCTTTGTGCTTTTCGTTTCGTCTATTTGTCCCGTTTCTTTGTTCGCTTTTCGAGTCTGTCCCTCTTTCCACGCGTGTACCTCTCCCCTTTTCTCCCTCTCTCTGTCTCTGTCTCGTCCGCTTCTTTTTCAACAATCTACCCCGAGCCACGGTGGAACGACCAATATATTTCCAGACGCAAAACTTCCAGCTAGATTCACGCCGGCGTAGTGAGAATAGCAGAGTACGCCGCGTGGGGAACGTGATGCAGATCAACGATAAATCAGGCGGTACGCGGGGATGTAAATAAAAATCTTACGGTGAAGAGATACGAGTAGAGAAGAGGGGACGGAGCTTCTTTTTTCTTTTTTTCCTTTTGTCCTGCGGAAGGGTGCCACGCTGTCATTTCAGTCGGCATCCAATTTGAAATTTTTCATCGGCCGATAACCGATACGCCGCCCGATTTGTAATTTCGTCCGCGATCAAGGAGCCTCCCTTGCCGCGGTTTCCGGAACGTTCGATGAACCGAGCGATTCGACGTTATTTACTCCCGATATATTTCCCATCCTCCTACACACACACACACACACACACACACACACTCCTTTTATTCGGATCCTCGGAATCTCTGGATTATTTATAACTCTATTTGCTCCATTCGGGCGAACCCGAAATAAATAGTCGAGACGCGATAAATTACATTTCACAAGTTGGCTGCCACTTGATCCGTCCTTGCGGAGCCGCGTTCCATTCGACGTTTTTTGAAGAGGCAGCAAAAGTCGAGTCCAGTTGACACCCAGACGACAAATTATTACCTCATTGTGTTTTATATTTTGCAATTTTTGTTTGTTGCGTTGCTTCAAATTGTTACTTTTGTTTCGTACATTTTTCTCTTCAAACTATTCGCACTTGATCTAGTTCTAGCGAAAATTGCTTCGCGAAAATTTTCAAAACTCGTAGACGTCTCGAAACATCGGCAATTCCGACGCCGCTGGATTAACCGTGAAAAATCGACGAGCGAAACACCGTATGCCGAAGTCTGCCAGGCAAAAACGCCCCTTAAGCTCGGTCGCGCGAAACGAAGAAGTGACGCGAGCGCACGCCTGATGCCGCATATATGTAAACAGAAATGCAAGGGACTGGCTGTCAAGCTGACAGGTAATTCACAGCACAGGAGGGTAGGGATTTCTCCTTGTAACTTTGATTTCGCGGCCCTTCGAACAGAAGACTCCTGCGGTCTCGAAGAAAAAACGAGCGTGACGAGCGCGACGGAAGTCAACCCCTTGTTCCTTTTATCCCTCTCTTCTCCTTTGAATTACATCGTGCTTTGCTTCTACTCGATTCAGCGAATACACCGCGGGGTTTCTTTAAAATTTCAATACCGTCGAGCAAGTGAGAATTCACGTGGATGATGAATAATCGAGAAACGAGCAAACTCCACTGTGAAAGAACGAAGAATACAAAACTGCACTAGGCAAAAATCTATGTATCTGTCGAACGAGTTCTGTAGAATGAAATTATTATCATGTAATTTCTGTTTCATTGATCGTCTTCTGCCTATTATTACCTGTATAGAGTGACTGGAACGACTTTACCAATAATAACGAAATATTGCCGACAATTTAAACTAATATAAAAATTATATATAACATTTGGTGCTTTTTAAAGTACAAAATCTCTAGTTTGACAGTGAATTCGTTCTTTATATGATAATGACGGTATCACGTGGCAGATGAGAAAGTGAGAATGTAAAAAATAAAAACGTTAAAAAATTATTTTCGTAACTAGTTCCACCGTCATTTTAAAAATTGTTTTTCCCTTAAGACTCCGCTGTGTTTTTTTTCTTCAACTTTGAACATTAGAGGCTAAATGACGAATTAATATTAAGATTTTTTTAAAATTTTGTCGTTTAACTTTGATATTCAAATTTCAATGCCTTGGTGGATTTAATCACAAAAGAGACTTTTCAATGATTTCATATGCGTTTGAATTTTTACAATTTTCGAAACAAAGGTATTCCTACCTGACGTGAAATCATCTTTAAACTCACCAAGCGAATTGTTGTACGATCTTTGTCTTCGGAGTTAGATCAGTTTAAATTTTCCATCGTCATTGGTTACAGTTATGCTCTTCGCCGTGTGTCGAGTAAAAAACATTCTATTCGTGCGATCGAACATCGTAGGAATGATCTTTTAAACAAAGGTGCATATATTTGTACGTATCCCAGAGATATTTTGGAAATACGTTTTTGAGAAACGAGCTCGATGCGATAACAGGTATTTCGCCTGAACGGAAGCACAGTGGAAATTTTATTTAAGCTCGGGCATCTTCAACGAGCAGGCGAATTTAGGTGTAGCATCCGTGATAGAAGGAACGCTCGCGTCGATATATCGAAAAAGAGTGTATTTATTGGAAAACCAATGAGATCTTTGGTCGTTGCTCGAGCGAGCTTAGATCAGAGATAGCGCGAAACGAACACCCGTGGGATTCTAGACGAGAAAGTTCCGTCCCGGAAACCGTTTCGCTTTCTCCGTTGCTTAGACGAGTTTTCCCATCCGACAAGTTTTCGCCGGCCGGTATCGCTCGCCGACGCATCCCCTCCCGCCACTCGATACGCGCCAAGTATTTCGAAAATGTGTGCTCCTCCACTTTAAATGTTAATTTAAATTCTCTTTCGCGACGCGACTCGCGAAACTTTCCCCAGATAGCCGGCAGCTTTCAGAGGGGTGACGGAAAATTTGTTCGCCGTTGGCATAAATACCGACGCGTTTTCTGCCGTACGCGCCAGAACTCGGACCGGTAGAGTCTACGTGGCAGCCGACGAGAACGGAACGCTTGTAATTCCCTCGCGGACTGAGATTCCGTGGCAGCGTAGCGCGAAATTTTAAACGACACGAGCCTCGGAACTCCTCATTTCGACATCCAATTACCGCGATAATGAGCTCTGGAAATTAGGAACATCGACTAATCGTGTAACGATTACGCGTAAGCCAACGACAAAGCCGCAGCCAGGAGATCATAATTCCCTTGTTCCACGCCCGATGCGTTCTACCTCTTTGCGCGAAACACGTAACACAAAACGCGTCTCGTTACGAACCACCGTAACGCGAGACGTCGAAAGTTCCAATACCGTAAAAAACCAGCCGGTCCCGTGGATGTAATACGTTTCCCTTGCACCGTCCGAAAACGAATATTCCCATGGCCGTATTCTACCGTCTTCCGTACGATGCATAACGCGATGGAAACGCAGTCCGTGGGAGACACACGCCAACAGACACGTGCACTCTGCATCTTTTCATCCTCGAGCAGAAGCATTACGGCACTCAGCTCCGGCTGCGAGCGCGCGAGTCGGCTACCGCAAGTAACGAGGAAAATGCATTTCTGTTTCAGGGAGCGCGTACATCATAAGATGGAGCGCGCCGCAGCTGATGGTGGTGGCGGTGCAGTATATCCTCACGGGGCCCTACATGCCCCCGTACGTGCCCCAGACGGCGAATTAGGAGATGGATCACGATACCCACGTGGCCCGTGTTTATCCAGGACGTTCTGTCGCGCCCTGAGTCTGTGTCTGAATCCTTCGGAATCACCATCTATTTCCACGGAGAAGAGCCGCGCTCGAGAGCATCGCGCGTGCACCTTCGAAACGTTTTTTCTTTTCTTTTTTTTTTTTCTCTACTTATTTATTTATTTATTTCGCGTGATTTGCTTCATCTCGACGTAATTTAGCAGATAATGTAACAATCGAGCGGCTTTGTCTCTCGGAGAAATCACGCGTCACGCGTCAGGGGAGGCATTCATAAAGGCGATTCACTCGCGAAAGAAACGAAACAGTACGTTTGGCTAATATTCGCGATTAGACCGAATAGCGATTGATGGAATGCATTAGCGGGAACAGACGAAATTATTTGTCAACCAAGTTCTATACCTTTAATTGGATTGTTAATCGCAATCGAATATTAATTGGGATAATTGAATCATGTATCGGCTGCCGCTGGATTACCGGCTTAATTAGCGTCGGATATTTATTGTGAGGTGAATTATCTTGGTAAATTATTTGTCGGAAGTAATGACGTATGAACGGGGAACGAACCGCTCCTAGAGCAATATGACGCTGCACCGCGGACCTGTAGTTAATCGACGCAATTAGAGGGAAATTTATTACGGCGGTGCTCGTGTCGGTGTCTTTTCGCGTTTGAATTTTTTCGTTGCGTTTTTCGACCGTGTTGTTTCACCGTGATGAATTCACGGCTTGAATGCCAGTTGGCGTGCAATTTTCGCGACTCTGTGTAATTGTGTTTGTCGAATACTTCGAGCGTCGTGATAGAAAATTTTAATAGAAATCGACGAACGCTCACCACTTTGGTAGTTCAACAAGTAAAGTCGGGTAAAGCTCGATGACAGCTCGATCGATGAAAACTCTTCCTTCTCCCACGATCGAAACCTACTTGAAATTTTCAAACAAGATTGTAAACTCAGAGCGAGATAATCGGTCGATGAAACAAGTCGAAAAAAAAGAAAGGAGACACGCACACCCGGGGGTTACCACGTAGCGCGATAAATTCCGAAAACAATCAAACTCGGCGAGGCTTGGTCGCTCTGAAAATGACAAATCTGTCCTGCGAGAGTACACACTTGGAAAAGGTGAACAGAACGAAACTCTAGACTCTCCTCGCGATGCGCCAATACTCCCCGTTTCGAATGGTCGCTCTTTCTAAAGAGTGCGTGCGATATATATGTATATATATATCGTCAATTAACGTGATACCGTCGCTTCAGTCGCTTCGGTTGTTCGACAGTTTGAATCTCGCGGATCGCGAAGAACAAATCGAGGTCGCGATCGGAAACAAAACGTCCCCGAAGACGCTTGGGGGAGATACGTGAGTAGTTTGCGTAGGAAAGTCGCTGAATGGAATCTCCGGGAGGCCCGGAGACTTTTTCAAGCCCGGCCAGGAAATGGCATTCAAGTAGACAGCCCTCGAGGGAGTGAAGGGAGGGAATTTGATTAATGCCTCGGCACGTGAAAAATGGCGCTCGCGAAATCACGAAGGTTGGCAGGAGCGTAACGACGGTTTTCGCGTTATTTAAAAAAAAAAAAACGGTCGCCACCGGAGAATCCAATTATCGAAACGGTTCGTTGGATCGTTGCACGACGGTGGAAACTTCGCCTGCCGTTTCTCCAAAAAAAAAAAGAAAAAAAGAAAAAAAAAAGGAAAAAAAATTCACGAGCCACGGCAACTTGCTGATTTTCCATTCAACTCGTTTCAACTTTCACAAATTTCACCTCATTTTCTCTTTGTTCCTTCGTTACTTTTTTTTTTTTTTTGCCCGATTCTTTCTCCTCTTGTGATTTCTCGCGACTAATATTCACTGGCGCAAATATTTACGGCGAGAATTTCTTCGATTGGCAGAGATCGTCGGCGATTCTTCGACAAATAAATCGGTCGATGTTTCAATTTCCGTCGCGAGGGGAAATGGGAGGCCGTCGCTGACGCGACAATACAAATGATTTATTAAAACACAACGATGAAATTCCGTGTCGGAAATCAACGACACGCGGAGAGGAGATGAAAACGAAACGAGCACGCTTCTAATTTTCACGCGATAAAGGTGTCATTACGGAGGCTGGTTTGAAACATTCCGCGATGCCAGCCACGCGTTTTCTCGCGACGCGCGTTCCCGCTCTCGTGCGGCGCGCTTTCAAAGACCCCGAAATTACTATGATTCCCCGGGCGAACGTATTAATCATCGTGGCTTCCCTCTAATTAAGAAACTTTCCATTACCGATCGTGTAATCGGCGCGTGACGTGTAATTGGGTTTCGCGATATCGTCGACAGGCGAGAGGCCCGCTCTAAATTAAAATACGCCCGCCGCTCCGAATTAATTACCGAAAGAAGACACAAAGACATCAAACGACACGGAGAATCCAATTCCGGCGACGTGACTGACGAACGAATCGTCTGCCAGCCAACGTCGGTGTCTAGGACTCGGTTAATCGAAAAGCATCGTGAATTCAAAATCGGAGCCAACGTTCCGTGATCCGGCGGTACGGTAACGAAACGCAAATATTAATAACCGATCCGGTGTTTTGCCAGTAATTCAATTTCGCCGGTGTCCGATAATTAAACTGCCGCGGATGAAAAATGACAAACGATTCTCAAATTATAAAATTTCGCGCGACCGCGAGAAATTTTTCATGCTCCGAGGGGAACTGGTTCCAGTTGCGATACAACAGCGTTGCATTGTTGGTTGTTTGTTGGTTTCCAGAGGTCGTACAATGTCGCAGAGAAAAATGAAAGTTCGAATTCGGCCAGCGACGAGAAACTGCCGAATTTTGCGGTGAGGGGAGCCAGGCTGAAAAGCGAGAGACGAAACAGTCGTGTCGTGGAATTAGCGGTGTGGTAGGCTCGGTCGACGCATAATTCCGCTTCCGGACGAATCGGTAGAAACCATTTGTGTGTCTGGTCTGGGTAACTTCGTTCGTCGGTCACGCAAGCGGCTCAGGGAAGCCAGTATGAAAAGTTTCGATCGCGCGAAAAGGGCTTCGATAAAGTATCATTCGGTCGGAAAGTCTTGCAACTGTGAAAGTTGGCTCGCTTCTAAATTGAAAAGTTCCCTTTTATCGGCGATGCCGGCGGGAACGGTGGTATCCTCCGCCCGAATACCGGCATCCTCGGATGAAGATTCTTCGAAAACATCGGCATAAAAAACGAAAGAAGAGCTTCGAGAGAAACAGAGAGAGAGAGAGAGAGAGAGCGAAGAAGAGTAAAACGAGTAAGCAGAGAAACGTGATTTCTTGTTTAATGTACGAGAACGAAAGATAAAGCGTGCAGAAAAGTCGTACGAGACTTGGTCTGGGAGGTTCCCTCGACAAACCGTGAGGAGACCGATCCCCGCCCCCTCCTTCGAGCGCATCGAGAAACGTTCAACCGTTTGGCCTCTGTTTTGCGGATTAGCATTTAAATGAAAATGGCAAATTAGTGCGCCGTTTCAGATTTATCTTTCACGGGCGAGCGTCGTCGACGCGGCGCCGCGCGAATCTTCCACGCCGCCGGGGAACCGATAGACTCATTCGAATTCGGTCCACGAGCCAGCCGAATGGCTACATTATGATTCTACCTACAACCTTGCCGTAATTACCACCGCTCACCGCCGGCGACGATTTAATCAAGACGTCTCTATTTACACGCTCTCGTCTGAAAATACGGCTCCGAAACATTTTCGCTGTAACTTCCAATATCACCACGGTACACAGTCTATGTCCCCTTCAATTTTCTTCGATCACGAACTTTCTTCAAATCACCAACCAGTTCGCGAGCAGTTGATCGCGATTCACGGCATGCACGCGGGACGAGGCAATGAATTAGGCCAACAGCTTTTCGGCATTTATCCTCGTTCGTAGCGATATCCTACGCGAAAGCGGGCAGACGACGGGCAAAGCGACGAAGAGGAGGAAGAGGAGGAGGAGGAGGAGACCGGCGGATTGAGATTCGTAGCACGAAACAGCGCGCACGGGTGAAATATCTCACGCCAATATAATTGTACGCGTTTCAGAGGTATCATTTCGTAATCTATGTAGACCTGGTCGGATGGGGGATTATGTTAAGCGATGCGTGAGCGGCCACAGTCCACGGGAAGCCAGGCGTAACAGAGATACTGCTCGGTGACGTCGCATCGTTACACGCCACCGGTGTATTGCCGCGTCCGCGTCCGCGTCCGCGTCCGCGTTCGCATTCGCGGCCTGTGCACGCGCCGATAAAATACACGCCTGCCTATTTAGATGCGTACACGGATAGGAATCGTGTATCGTCTGCTGCACGCGCGACATGAATTTTATTCACAGCTTCGTCCCTCTCCTCTCTCTCTCTCTCTCTCTCTCTCTCTCTCTCTCTCTCTCTCTCTCTCTCTCTCTCTCTCTCTTTCTCGCCATTTCTACCTACGCGTATCTGTCTCACTCGCTCGCTATTTTCTCGCTCAAGATTGCTTCGCGTCTTTTCTCGCTCAACAGTGCATCAAATTCGACATCAGCCCGTCGATTTTTGTTGAAATATTGTCATCCCGGATGACAGAGCAACGAGTCATCGTCAGAGAGCGACACGGAAGGACGTTCAAAGTTCTCCGCCGAGAATTCCTCGAATTCCTCGCGCCGATGATCTAATCGCGGACAAGTCGTAGTCTCGCTTTTTATCGAGGATCGTCGTTTAACCCGCGACACGAGACTCGAAGGCAAAAGGTTAATCGCGTGGACGCTGATCGATTCACACTGACGCGTTCCTCCGATTGCTGTGAAAGCGTAGCGGAAAAGACGAAACACCAACGTCGGAGGAAAAGAAAGGAGAAAACGTAATTCCTCTCTCTCTCTCTCTCTCTCTCTCTCTCTCTCTCTCTCTCTCTCTCTCTCTCTCTCTCTCTCTCTTTCTCTGTTTGCCAGCCGTTAACACAGCTGTTACGCGAAATTAATGCGTCGATCAGGCGACGTTTCGTCGCATTGCCTCGCCGATATTGAACGGTAATCGAATCGTTCTCCGAGTTCCTTCTCGAAATGAAACAGTAGGCCAGTGGAACGACGTGGCACGTATGTACAGTCTGCGACATGGTGAAGTCGCACAACTAACGAGGAGTGAAATTGACGATATATCTCGCGGATACTCAAAAAGTAATCGGAACAAATCAGTCTTTTGTTAATCTCTTGGCTACTGAACTTGCCCAGCTATAAGCAGCTCTCGCATATGCCATCTTTTCGAATGATTGTCTCTCAGTCAAACACGCACTGTTACGCTGCTACGATTTCTCACACTCTTCGTAAAACAAACTTCAACTTATTTGATCTCTTCAATTCCAAAATTTTGATTTATTCATAGTTTATCGTAATCGGATATAAATTTCATACATTGCTACACTGTTTCGCACAGTTTGCCGTACTGGAAGTGTAGCTTCGCGATAAATCTCGCCGTAACTAAGAGATTAAGAACGATATATATTCTGCAACTATCTCTTTATCGACAAAACCTTCCAACCAATATACTTGATTTGTACTCGCAACTGCGCTTCGTCTTCACCAACCGGTATTGCGATCGGAGAAGATTGAAAAATTTCTCTCGCGGGAACAGAACGTCTTATTATCGAGAGATTATTTAAAACGACGTAAAAAGTTTGTCAAGATCAATGAAAGTTAGGCCCGTAAGGTTTACGTAAGAGCCAAGCCTTCTAGAAGGCAAAGAATCGAGGTTATGCAAATTACCCCTTAAGTAGATGATAACCCAAACTTAACCTAGATTCGAGGCACGGATTAAGCCTTCTCCCTCCTCCAACCCCCACTCCTTCCTCATTCCACTCGTATCTTATCCTTGGCGTTATTTTTTTTTCTCTTTTTTTTCGTGCGATCATTTGTCGATTACCGCGAATCCACCGTTGAACTTCCCGTTATTCAACGGGACACGGAACATCTGTTCTTCGACGTGATAACCGGTCCGAAAACCGTTCGTCCGAGCATACAGTATTCTGCGATGGAAAATAAAGCGGAATCGCGTTTGCACACGCGATCGTCGAGGCGTTTGCGAGGGAGTTCGTTCTTGTATGCGTGTACGAAAGCAGACATCACGCGCGCGTACATCGTGACACGCTATCCGATTAATAAGCAGAAAATTGCGACAGTGCGAACAACAACGGAGCCGAGACTAATGGCCGTCCTCGTGGATCGTGCTCCTCGCAACGCTAAATTACAAAAAACTGACAGACAGAGAGAGAGAGAGAGAGAGAGAGAGAGAGACAGGACAGTTGCTGTATGTTTAATGTTTCTCTGTGTGTACGTTCGGAGGTAGATTAAAATTTAACGATTTCATTTGACACGGAAATTTTATATTACAACCGTCATCGAAGCATTTTTATCCCAGTTCGACAGATTACGAAATTACTTCCGCTCCGGCGAATTTCCGACTATTTTTTTCTCTCTTTATTTTCTTTTTTTTTTTAATATGATATTTGTTATTTATCATTCGAACGCGAATTAAGAGCGACGAACGCTGGATTCAGAAAGCATATTCCATTGAATGTGCTTTTTTCAATCGAAATCCAAGTCGATAAACAACTGCGTTACTGATATTTAATAATTGATATTCAAACGCGTTAAGTGGTACGAATCGGTGGTCAGGCGCATCGATAGTGACGAG